AAAAAAAAAAAAAAGACAGAAAGAAATACTGCAAAATTGAACAATATGAAACACAGGTGGCTGGTCCTAAAAGAATAGGTTCTTCTCCTAAGACCAGCCCTCCTCTTTCACCTCAAGTTCTATCCTATCCTGTTGACATAGATCCAGGAGAAATTTTGTTCTCTTTCAGGTTATTTTAAGTTGCCAAAAATGGTTCTTGATCCCTGTGTTCCTGACATGATTGGATCTCCTGGTGGGGACCTCTGAATTCTAGAAATTGAGTTTAGAGGGAGCTAAAACCAAGTAAGCAGGAGCCGGGCTCAGCCAACTCAGGTGGAGATCTTAGAAAAGGGTGTTTCTAGGGCTTGAATAAACTTCCAGGCTCACCTCTTACTCTCACAAGTGACGTCCCACCCACGGTGACATATTTTTACAATACCCATCAGTTTCATTTAATGTCAGGAAAAAACACCATGTTTTAGAAATGCCCTTCATTTTTGTCCCATGGATATTTTGTCCCAGGATATTTGTCCTATGGAAATGTCCCATTTTTGTCCAGAAGGCAGAACCCTTAGTCCTTCAGTCCAGCCTCCTGGTCACTGATGATTCCATAGAGTAGGGGCTGTTGCCTAAGCTGAATTAATCAGATTCTTGCCAATTTCATGTGCCCTGGAGAGGGAAGCTGCCCATTTCTGGGGCAGCCATAAGAGTGTATGTGAGCCAGACATGATGGCATGCCTGTAATCCCAGCATGCAGGAGGCTGAGACAGGAGGATTGCTGGGAGTCTGAGGCCAGCCTAGGTTATAGAGTGAGTTCAAGGGCAGCCTAAAATGTATACTGAGACCCTGTCTCAAAAAAGAAGTGTATGTAAGAACAGAGGAAACCAATTTGCTGAGAGGAGACTGGAAGAGATGTGCAGAAAAATGCAGAGGCAAGAATTTCTGAGACCCTAAGAGAGAGCAACAGGAGGAATCAACTCTGACAGTTTTCTATCTTCAGAGTGCATCAACTATACTTTTTTTTTTTGTACTGGGGGTCGAACTCAGGACCTTGCACATGTGAGACAGGTGGCAGCACCACTGTGCTAGATCCCTGGCCCTTCATCAACTATACGTACTGTGTGCATGTATGAGCTTCCCTGTCTTTTCCCACTGCAAACTACCTTTCATCAGGCTCCCTTGCATGCGTTTATGTTTCTTACACTTATAAACCCTCTGCATAGAGCAGATCCCATATGTGCAACTACTACTTTAACTGTTTTTAAAAACTATACAGTATTAAATTATATTCAACTGGATTGGTTACCAACTTTACAAACAAACAAACAACATTGAGTTAGAAGTAGTTTGGCCATGGGACAGAGCTTCCAAAGTGCTTCTGAATTAGCAACTGAAAACTCCACATGCCCTGGAGTTAGACTATTACTATTTATTTATTTATTTATTCATTCATTCATTCAAAAGTATCCTGCTGGGTGTGCTGGTGCCCCCTGGTGTGCGGCCCCCTGGGGCACTCAGGCTGGGCAATTTTGGGGAACCTGTCTCAAAATGAAAATGGCTGAGGATATAGCTTACTGTGAAGGCCCTAGGTCAATCCTAAGTATGGCAAAAAAAAAGAGCATTTAATAAATATCAAATAACTACTATATTCCAAATTTATACTATGTACTAGACATCTGATGGGAGCTAAAGAAAGACTCTATTTATATTTATACGAAATTACTTTCTATTAGGTTCACTTTTCCTTACATATAAACTTACAGATTAGAAAATTGAAGCTCAGAAGGGGTTAGGGACTTGGCTCTGGTAGAGCATTTGCTTAGCATGTGCAAGAGCCCAAGTTTGAGCCCCAGCTCCACAAAAATACTGAAGCTCAAAGAAGTCAAGTAGCCTGCCCAAGGTAATACAGTCGTTGGTGGCAGAGCAGGGATTTGAACTTGGCCTGCTTGGTGCGTTCACTCATATCTTAATCACCACATCATAAGGACGCTCAGTACAAATACGCAACACCCTAAAGTTGGGGATGAATCTGCACCAATTCTGGCTTCACTTGGGCCTAAGTATATGCAGCCAGTTTCTAAGGATAATCAAAGAGAGCCTCATCAGCCACCTCTGGTGCTAGGGCAGTGCTCAGAACTTAGGCCTGAGGTATTGGAAAGGCTCTGCATAGCCCTTTGAAGTCCCCACTTATAAATCAATCTGCTGAGCCATGTAGAGACTCCTGTGAGGGATGCCTGTTGTCTCACGGATAGCTGCTTGGCCAGCGCTTGCACCCCAGGGCTGCCCTGCCCAGGGCCTGCATCTTCTGACAGTGCTCTTGATCCTTTCTCTTCCAGGGTCCCCACAGCCAGCTTCTCTGCTTTAGAAGTTTTCTTACACCTATGCCTTCCTTTCCACCCCATGTCCTGCCTGACTGCATCATAGCCCACTGGGATGATGCTGACAGCCTCTTCATGGACCTGCTGGGACAAAATTTCTTTCTCAAACCGGGCATGGTGGCGCACGCCTGTAATCCTGGTACTTGGGAAGCTGAGGCAGGAGGATCGTCGTGAGTTTGAAGCCAGCCTGGGCTACATAGTGAGTTCAGGGCCAGCCTGAACTACAAAGGGAGATCCTGCCTCAGAAAACAAAACAATTTTTTTTCTCATAAATTTATTCTCACAACTGCTACAACCAGCTTTCTAAAATACATACTTGACTATGTTCTGTTCTTCCTCTAAAAGCAATGGCTCCTTTTGAGATGTTACTATTTGCAAAATCTGTATAAAGCATATATTGGAATGCTCAGCACTAATTTGCAAATTTTCTATAAATCTAAAATTATGCCCAAACAAAAACATTGTTTAAAAAGATAATGATTGGGGCCGGGGATTTAGCTCGGTGCTTCTGGTGCCTGCCTCAGAAATGCAAGGGCCCAAGTTCGATCCCTGGTAACAAAAAAGAAAAAAGAAAAAAAGATAGTGACTCAACATTCCACTTACCCTAGTAATTCAAGATACCCTGTCAAACCCCTGTCCCCTACCCTACTGCCTTCCTACCATCTTGAAGATGCCATCCTTTCCACTGGTTGGAAAGCTCTTCTGCATACACTTAACTTTCCGTCCCTTTAGCTTGACAGGCTCCTAGTTAGTACATTTATTTTTTATTCAGGTATGTACTATTTGACTATATAAGCACTTTAAAAACATCAATTTGTTATGTTTACAACAGCTCTATAGGGAAGCTACTATTAATAATCTATTTTTACAGATGGAGGAACCAAGGGACAGCATAGGGAAGTTCACTAACAAGCCCCAAACTATGGAGTTGGTATTCAAACACACACATCTGGATCCAGTGTCATCTCTTAACCAGTGCACTGTGCTGCCTTTTCAACTTCAGAGTTCAGCTCAAGTGTCACATCTCTTGGAAGCCTTAATTCCTTTCCAACAAAACCACTTTCTTCCCCACTCTAAGATTCCATGACTTTTTGTATATTCACTTGGTTTTTGTTCATTCAGTATTCATCAGAACATGTTTATTGAGTGCTTACTATATCCTACCATTTTTCTAGGAGTTGAGAATCTATTCATCTTCAACAATCTGCAGAAGACAATGCTGCAATTATATGTTGTTCTCTCTTCTCTTTACAGACTACTTTTTTTCTAGTAATGAGGATTCAACCTAGAGCCTTGCAAGTGCTGTACCATTTGGACTACTTCTTGAAGGTGTTAATCTTTTTTCTTTTTGTTTTTGGTACCAGGGGTCAAATTCAGGACCTTGCGCTTGTGAGGCAGACAGCAGCGGCACCACTGAGCTAAATCCCCAGCCCTTGAAGGTGTTAATCTTTACCTTTGTAACTCCTTTAGAATCTTGCACAGTGCCTGGAATGAGGTTTGTCCTCAGTAACAGTGCTTTGCAAGAATAAATGAGTAGTTATCAAGAATTGTGATGACAGTAAAAATAATGTTAACCATCCAGATGAATCCAAAATGTGCCTACAACAGTGAGGGCTGTGGGCCAGCGGTTCCATGCATCATCAAGTGAGCCCTAGGCTGAGAAGCTCCTGGGCAGATGACTGGTGCCTTGTGCATATTGGCCAATCATGGTTGTCACCGCGATTATTTCTGCCATTAGTGTTGGTGCTATGCCACAGTGTGGCAGGTGCCAGCAGCAAGCTGGCTTGTCACACTTCCTCAAGGCAAAAGCATCATGAAAGCAAATGTTCCTCAAAGATGAGCAGCAAGGCGGACCAGATTTAGGCTGGGCTTTCAGCCTGGAGTCTGAGAAATCCAAACATCAGTTCTGGGTCACTGGGGCCAAGGCACAATGTACTCTTATTTCCACAATATATCGGGAGTTGGGCTCCAAGAAGTGGGATGGTATGACACAGGAGTCACTAGATTAAAGAACCCCAAACTAGAACGCTCATCAATTTAACCAGATCAGTGCCTGAGTGGACAATGGGGTGTTTTCCAGGTGGAAGTTGGATTTGCAATGAAAATGGAAAGGTAAGAGAGGGCTTAACATGGTCTTGAATTCCTTTGTAGTCCCAAGCCATGGAAAAGGAGGCACACCAGTCTTCCCGATTCTGTATAATCTCCTTGGGGATCAGAAGTCAGATGGCACAAATGATAGTTCTGATGTTTGTGCAGAATTCTCATGAGTCCTTTGTGACTTACCCTCAAGGATCCCAGAATCATTGTATTGAATGATTACAGGCTTCCTAGGTGAATGGAATTCTCTAAAAGTCGTTAGATCCATTCTTCTGCCTCTGGGCAAGAGGTTGAAACAATTAAAGGTGATAAATAACAATTGTTTGGCAGAGACATGCTGGGTTTTGGATAGTATAAGGTAGCAACAGGTCATGGACCCCTTTGGTTCCACTGGGGCTGTGTTAGCTCCTGTGCGACCTACAAGGAGAATGTTGTGTTTTTGGCCATCAGCAGATGTGACTATTCTGATCCCTGGGGGTAATGAAAAGAGTAGGAAGGTGTCATTTGTCTAAAATCCCCTGGGATGCCAGAGCCTGCTGCTGTAGACACCAGCCAACCTGGTGTTTGTATTCTTGGCCAACTACATGCCCCAGGGATGGCAAAGAGATTTTCCAGTGAGAGGTCTTCCTTTCCAGGTGCAGAAGCTGAGGACTGGAGTAAAAAACACAGTTACAGTTATCCCAACCTCTAGGCCTCAGATTTTCAGTGTAGCTTCTTCCTAAGGACTGTCTCCATTCCAAAACCTTATAAATGACCGTTGCATTTCCTTTTCCAGGGTCAGTAGTTGGGAAGCAGAAGAGAGAATTTGAAATTGGAGGGCTTTTCTCTTTTTCTTCCTGCATCTATTTTTCTGACTCTGCTTCTGTTACTTTCAGTTACTTTGGGTCAGGAAGGATATTGCCTATCAGAATATTTATTCCAAATCTACACAGTTCATTCTGTTTTTACGGTACTGAGGATTGAAGCCAGGGTACACTGAGCTACATCCCCATTTTTTATTTTGAGACAGGTTTTTGCACATTGCTCCAGCTGGCCCTTGAACTTGTGGTCCTCCTGTCTCAGCTGAGATTGCAGATGTGTGCCACCGTGCCTGGCTCATTTGTACTTTAATCTTTCCCCAGCTACCCCAAATACACCCACTCCCACCCATTCTCTCACTTCTTCTTTGTTCCATCTCTTCATTTGAGGGTTTGATGGGCTTCCCTCCTCCTACACATTGGTTTGGTCCCCTTCCTTTCCTCTGGTCTGATTTACCTTTGTTGTAATAGATTTCCTTCTGATGTGGTCTGGGACCTTCTGAACTGAACGATAGCTCTGATGGACAATTCTTACTGGCATTGCTTGGCCCTTTGTGTAACTGCTAGATGGCTCTGGAGATTGAAGGCAACCCTCATAGATAGTGAATAGCAACATATATTAAATGCCTACCGTAAACCAAGTACTAGGCTAAACATTTAGTTTAGTCTTATTTCATCCTTGCAACCACTCTGTGAAGTAAGTGCTGACATTGATAGCTCTGTCCATTTTATATTAAATTACACATTGAAATTCAAAATGTTGAGCATCTTGCTCAAGTTCCCCCACTAATAATGGCAGAGTTTGAATTCAAACTCAAGGTTGTCTTATTTTGAAATATGGCACAAAATTTTATCCACCACGTTGCACTTTCTGTCTAATTTGGAGGGATTACATTTTCTGGAACTGGACAAACATCACCTTTAAGCCTAGAGACAGTTTTATGGACCCCAAAGAGGTATATGTTTGAAAGATTCCTGACCTGATACAGAAAATTCTTGCACAGACATATGACAAGGAGAAGCCAGGCATGGTGGTGCACACCTATAACCCCTGACTCAGGAGGCTAAAGCAGCAGGATCACTGTAAGTTCAAGACCAGCCTGGGCTCCATAGTGAGTTCCAGGTCAGTCTCAACTACAAAGTGAGACCCTGTCTCAAACAAACAAAAAAAAAAGTGCCGGCTCCAGTATGGGGACGAAAAGATACACCTTGTGCAGAATACATCTATAAGAAGGGGCGGGGTGTAAGTCACATGACAAGAAAACACGTACCTGTAATGGATGTGAATTTTGCTCTACAGCGCTCGTGTAAGTGGTACATTTTTCTACCTTATCTAAACGTTGGATGAATCCTTATTTGCTCTGGTTAACAGAAATTTAATTTCACCCGGTGAAGGGGAGGAGATGCACCTCTTTCAAAGTTACACGAAGATTCTGAAGGGTGCACTGGCTTGGATTGCACTTCCTAGAAGCAGAGTCTGAGACAGGGATTCTTGTTCAAGGGATCTACTGGGGGAGTAGTTTTTGGAGGAAGAGTGTGAGAGCAGGATGAGACAGTGAAACATTGACAGAAACACTATCTCAGCTGATTCTCAAGAAAGCTCTGGAGCACAAATTGGACCGCAGAATCAGTTCCCCACCGAGTCAAGAGAATCAGTCGTTTGTATTCTTGCGTCCATTAGCTATTGATCAAGTTGGAATGCAGCCTCCCAGGTGAAGAGGATGACAACCCTCTAGAAAAGAAGGCAGCTATAAAATGTCAATCAATATAGCTGGAGGTAAGTGCAGGGATAGATTTACTACAGTCTGCTCCAATCAGCTTCACTCGCTTTTCACATTAAATTCACTACGTCTAGGCACAGCTTCTCCTGGGTCCTGGTGGACTTAGTTGACCTTCAGTTTTCTGAGAAAACTTATGAAAACAGATTTTGTGGAATGAAATGTAGCTTGTGCTACTACCTTTGGCTCTAGGCTTTGGTACTCATTATCTTGCTCTTCGACCACTCATTTTAGGTCCTCCTCTCCTTTGGCTTGCTTCCTTTTTTAGGGTCTTGTCCGTTGATCACTAAACTCTTATCAGACCATGGTTACTAAAGTTGCCCGTTTAAAGTTCAACTGGACACAAGAGTACTAAGAGAT